TCAGTTTTTGTCACTCTGTGTTGCCTTCATCCCCACCCCTCCCCCGACTGTACCTTTAAAAAAAAATCAATAATCCCCCCCCCCCAATTCCGGAGCCCTATACTTCGCAGCGCACAGACTTTGAATGAACTTTGGTGACCCCAACCGGTACTCACAATGTGATGTGCACGCACAGGTTCACTAACCGGTCAAGAAGACGCTTGTATGATTTTCTTTTTTTTTCAGCAAGTGACAGCACAGGACAAAATATTAATTTATTTTCATTCCGGTTTACCGTGTACGTAGATACTGAGACTAGGCGTCCCGTAACCGTGTACGTAGACACTCCGTTATGACAAAGCATCGGGCGATTCAAGACCACGCCTGGTCGCCTCCAGCAGGTAAATTCGGCTGTGGGTTGATAAAATACGGTGGCCGCGGCCGCGTGGGACGGGTGACAGTTTTACAGTTAAATTATACAGAAAGAAGGCATGAGGGGAAGTGGAAAGTGGCCGTCATAGTAGGTTCGTCTGTATAATTCAAATTCAAGTCATAAACTCAAAGCCAAAACAGGCCAGCCAAGGAGTGGAATGACGTCTATAAGACTTTATTTGAACGAAGTGATTCCACACACCGGGTGTGCAAATAATATAGTTTTATTCACACCGGGTCTGCCAATATTACAGGGTTATCGAAAAAATTTACAACTTGTTTTCTGAATATCTCGCGCAAAAATTGTTCTAGAATGCTGTAATTTGGAACAGACATAATTCGTTCAAAAGGAATTTGTTTGATATAAAATCCACGAAGAAGAACCATGTTTTGAAAACGGAAATGGTTAAAAGAAAAAAGCCCCCAAAAACGCAAAGTTCACCAGTGTTTAAGAATCTTGTAAAGGAAGTCGTGAAAAGATTAGTTGACCCTTTTCTTTATTTTCTCTTTGACATTAATTTTCCATCCTCGTGACATTTAAACAATATTTAATTTCTTTTACAGAGTTTTAAAAACCTAGTGATTTCATTCTGAAATTCCTAGAAGCAATGCTCCACATTCCCTCCTTTGGACTCGCCACATTTTTAACGCGTCGTTCGAAATGTTCAGTGGCGCCCTAACACAAGGACCTGCTAAACCATGAGTTTTAAAAGCCACATACACTGTACATGTTCACTAAGAAGTGGCTTCTAGAGACAATACAGTGGGGTGCCCAATAGACAGCATTTTTGAAGTTAACATATCCCGCAGGGTGAAAATGGGCTTTGCACTAAACCAAATGTCATCGAGGAAATTATCCCTCTTTACAAGACAATCGAGGAATCATGAACACATTGCCATGCTCTGATCTATGTCATCTCGGCCTAGCATAGATGAACAAGGTATAGTCGCAGGTTAAGATCTGCCGTGAGAATGCAGACTGTTGATGTGTAGGACAGTCCTAGCTGCAGATCGTCTACGGACAGGCGTCTCAGGGGACTCGGCTACTGAAATCTGCCCTCTGGTGATGTTTAAAGGGCTGCGCATGGTGCGTGTTCGACCTGAAGTGGTCATTTTTAAACAACTTTTTAGTTCTGATTCGCTATAGATCCAAACTGACGGAATTTCTCTACTCATGACGCCAAAGGTCTTGAGGGCACTTAAGCATTCTCTCGGTGCCGTGCGCGAAACTTACGAAATGTCAGGGATGGTGAGTTTGTGGAGAGGTAATGTTCAGTACAAAAAGCTATCTGCTCTTTACTAAACGTAGCCATGGTCTCAGCATGCAAACAAAATTTGGGACAAATAATATCATCAGACATCTGTTGACTTGTTAGACTGCTGTAGCTTGCAACATGGCGCGATTGTTGCAACTTTTAGTGGTAGGCCTAAAGTGAACTGATGCGAAATGCTATGAAAATGTCGACAAGGTTGAAAATGGGTTGGGTTTTTTTAATGCGCTAAACAGAGCAAAACTACTCAAGGGGCTTGTCTAAAATACACATCAGAAAAATTCCTTTTGGCTTCCAAACGTTATGTTCAAACCTGAAACGCAAAACCTCAGAATGGAGGAAGCTATTTACAAAACAAGTTGTTAAGGTTTTTTTGGATCACAATGTATATTTTTTATTCCCACCGGATGTGCGAATAATATATCATTTTATTCATACCGGGTGTGCGAATAAGAAATGATTCTATTCGCACAGGGTCGTTTCGGCTACTAAAATTGCGGGAGGCGAGATCGACAAATGGCCCATCTACCGCTGTGTCATTTTGAGGAAGACTGGGCATCAAATGGGCATCTGTGGGCTGCCTCTTGTGGTATCAAAATCAATGTTGTGTGTCTCCATGCAACAACAACTACGCTCCAATGCATTGGAGAGCTATTATTCTAAAATCACGATTGTTAATCTAAAAAATGACCTTGTCTAGTGTAATGGCTGGCTTGGTCGAATTGAACAAGTCCAAGATTACTGAAGCGAAACGAAAACGACTGCTATGTTTAAATTCCAATGTTTATGATCACATAGACCAGGACAGCGCGTCGACC